AGGATGGGACACAGGTTAGGAGATTTAAAGAGTCAGGAGTAGAGAAGCTATTATTTAACAAAAGAAATACAAAAATCACAGATAATTAGTTGTAGTGTCAGTATAGAATCACTGACTTGAGGCTTTCTATCTCTCAACTTTTAAAATTGTTTTTTACCCCTAAAATCTTCATTCACTAGAAACTTGTGTTGTTATATATTTTGTGTTACCTACTCCCTTGAAATCTGATTGCAAAACAAAAGATTCAAAGCAAATTTATTTTCCTCTGAAGTAGAAAAATATGCAAAGTTCTGTATAAAATATAAGGATGTTTCCTGACTCCAAGTTAGAGCAAAAAATTTAGAACCGAAATTCTATGGCGAAATGAGTCATTAGTAATAAGGATGCATTTGATAATAAAGAAACATCTCTAAAGTCTTAGGAACTGGAATTATCAGCACTATACTCACTGCCTGTTATACACAGTTGGTCAAATTTTATTGCGCACTTATTCCCCAAGGTGAGGTTAAGACTGATGGAAAACACAAGAAGAACGTTCTCCCTTCAAGGATTTCACAGTATTCTTGGATATATAAGGGACATATATATGAAAAAGTCCTAAAATATTTGCTATAAGGGTGAGAATCTTCATCGGAAAAATTATTCAATCATAAACTTTTAGATCGATCTAAAATTCTCTCTCTTAAAAACAGAGTATCTCTAAGGGCACTAAAATATACCATGATATGATTATATCAATAGCAGTGAGATGCAGATTCCATACTGGAATACAGCAGAAAAGAATTAGCTTCTGTCCAAAGTTCTAAGTTCCTACACCTCCTTTTCTTTTTCTTTTCCTTCCACTTTTGAATCTATCAGCCTGTAGAGCTCTCCTTATCTCTAGAAGTGTGGCATCTTACAGTATTTCCTGATGCCTAAAAATTGTACCTGAAGTACAAGGATGCCATTTCCTGTATTTTGAATGCAGTGGATCACCAACAATGGAGGGGCACCTTTTTCAGTGTTTACTGACTGGTCTAGTTTAGAGATATGTATTCCATCATCTATGCCACACCCTTATCCCTCAATTCATGCAGGGACAGTACTCAGGAATCAAATACTTTGTGGGATATGTTTGCAGGTTTCTTGAGAAAAGTTATTCCTTTTATTGTATCCCCTTCTGGAGAGAAAAATGTAGGGCTTTTCTTCCCCTAATAACAGGACAGAATCACTCTCAGTGTATGGAAATACCCTGGACTTTTCAGTGTCCTCCTCTGAAAATTATTGCACCTCTGGGTTTTCAGAGTACCTTGGGTTCCCGAGGTAGAGAGAGATGGAGGAATTAAGAAGAAAGACACACATATTGCTCTCAATTTGGCTTATATGTGGATTTTCCTGAGTTATTTGGACAGCATTAGAAGTAGCTGAATCTGAATCATCTTACTTTAATTTTTTAAAATTATTTTTGAGAAAGTGAGTGGGGAAGTGGGGAGGAGGTAGCTAGAGAATCTGAAGTGGGGCTAGAACTCATGAACTGTGAGGTCATGACTTGCACTGAGCCATCTTACTTTAATTTACCAAGAAAGCCACTCACTGAATGAAGGAGACAAGCAAGAGGGTTGAAATATGTATTTTGTTTTTCTCTCTAGATACATTTTTTATTCTTCTCTGCTCTAGAAGATGGCATAATGCATCACACAGGCTCTCTTATCTTCTGGTATCCAAGTGGGTTTCCCCCATGAGAGGCATCTGTAGGAGATAAGAAAGTGGGAAGAATGAAAATAAGAATAATTTATCCCCTAGCACTATGCCTGTCATATCTGATTTGACAGTGACTGTGTTCCTCTACCTAAACCATAGCTCCTATTAAGAGGTCTCTTCCAGGGACTAAAGCCATAGTCCCTGACAGACAAATTTCATCTGCACAACTCCAACTCTCCCTGAAATTCAGTAACACTCTTTCTTTATTTTGTTCTTCAGGATTAGGGGTGGTAACAGCTTTCAGATATTACTAATCCCTGGGTTTATTGTTATTCTTGTTGGCTCACTGAATCCAGTGGACAGGTATGCAAATAGTTAATTCATATACTTTTTCACTACTCCTTTTGAGACTTCTATACTGGGAATCTGACTGATACAGATGATAGTTTTTGGGGTTGGATTTATCCTTAGAGCATGAACAAAGAAAAACTGAAATGGAATGGTAACAAACTAGATCCTCAGATCAGAATCCTGGCATGTTAGAGTTCTTAAAACAACTCATAAGCATTTTGCCAAACATACAATATATTCAGCCATACATTATACGAAGGAAGAAATGTGCCCATTCATCTATACCTGTTTCGCTCTTCCCTCTCCTTGCCCAATTACAGAGAGGGCACATGGGAGAGAAAATAATAAATCAGGAAAGTGAAGAAATTATCCTATGCCACTTCAATCCCACCTTGAGATGCCAAGCTGCTAAAGCCACAGACAGGTCTTACCTAAAATATGGGAAGAGGAACAGAAGTAATTTAAATGAAATTTTAAAATAAACAGGACTAGATTTTGAAACTGAAATAAGATGGTTTGAATTAATTGAAGTGACTGGCATTATGGAATCTAGTCACAAGTTATAAAGGGATCAATAGAAAGGGGGGTTATATAGAATTGCCAAGGAGTTATTGGAAAAATAAAATGGTTTCTCATTTAAACCTGTGAAGAGTTGTGAGTGTTCAATAAATCAATTGTACCAAGTGGTATGCTGTGGTCAGCCTGCTTTAGACTTAATGATGCAATAATAAATATGTAGCCATTACATTTAACCAGCTCAATCTATGGGATATAATTATTAAGGTATATATTCCTGCTCTCTATTTGAATATATTCAGAAGCACTAGATTTTCCTAATTCCCTGGAAATAAACCAGATAAGGTGCTGTGAAATAATAGAAAAAATATATATACTAGTCTCTGTCCCTGGTTCCTGGTACAGAGCTCCTAAAACTCCAGTAATTTCCTAATAAGATCACTAGAAGCTTCTTTTATTCTAACATTTGGTCTTTAACCCTGGTTCCTTACCTTGGGGTGTGTGTGTGTGTGTCTGTGTGTGCCTGTGTCTCCTAAATTCCTTGAGATTTCCTGGGTGACTGGATGAATGTCTTTTGTTCCAATAAGGTGACTCTTTGTGGGCTCCTGCATGGGGGCTGGTCAACAGAAAGAACAAGTTGTGATTAGACACTAGGAACTTTCAGCCCCTCATCCTCCAGAGAGGGGAGTGCAGCTAGAAATGGAGCTAATGATTGATCATCCCTATGTGATGAAGCTTCCATAAAAATCCCCAAAGTATGGAGTTCAGAAAGCTTCTGAGATGGTGAACATGTTGAGGTTCTGGGAGAGAGGTGCACCCACAGAAGGCATGGAGGCTCCACTCCCTTCCCACATAACTTGTCCCAAACATCCCTTCCATCTGGATGTTCATCTGTACCCTTTATTATATCCTTATATAATAACCAGTAAAAATAAGTAAACTGTTTCCCTAAATTCTGTGAGCTGCTCTACCAAAATATTTAAACCAAGGAGGGGATTATGAGAATCTCCAATTTATGGCCAGTTGTTCAGAAGCAACAGGTGACAACCTGGATAAGCAATTGGCATCTGAAGTGGGGGACAGTGTTATGGGGCTAAGTCCTAAACCTGTGGAATCCAATGCTATATCCCATAGGTAGTATCAGAATTGGATCAAATTGTAAGACATCCAGCTGGTATTATAGAATTGCTTGATGAGGGAAAACTCCACACACCCGCTGTCAGAAGTGCTGTGAGTGTGGTTGTCATAACACAGTAAAAGAGACACTTGGAGGAAGAGCAAATTTTTTTTCCTACTCAGGAGCCATATATTTTCTACTTCTTAGATAATAAAAGTTTCATAGTCACTTTAAGTACAAATCACAGTCTCAACTCATTAAATAGAATGTCTTCTCAGAATATTCCAAAATCATACATTGATTTAAAGTTAAAACTTCTCTATTGCCTCAATTAAAGTCTAATGCTAAAGGTTCAGGTAATTAGCTGAGGGTTCAGTTCAGCAAAGGGTCAGGTGATTAGCTTCTTACTTTTCTCACCCGGTACTTCTGTTCCTCCTTCCACATCTTGTTAATATGGCTTTGACCTCTTCAAGGAAGCAAGAATACTCTTAGTTAAGAAAGTTTTTAGGGGTGCTTGGGTGGCTCAGTAGGTTGAGCATCTGACTTTGATTTTGGCTCAGGTCATGATCCCAAAGTCATGGGATTACGCCCTGAGTTAGGCTCCACACTGAGCATGGAGCCTGTTTGAGATTCTCTCTCCTCTTTCCTTTACCTCTTTCCCCTACTCGTATTCTCTCTCTCTCTCAAAAATAATATATAAACAAAGTTTTAATAAAGTGATTTTAGTTATCTAGGAGGTGTGGAGCATTCTCTGGATTTTTCAGACATTTAAACCACCTCTTTCCCACTCACTCCCAGCTGGTGCTTTTGCACATTCTTCAGAAAAATATCCCTTTATATTGCTGCAATTTCCTTGAAATGGTCAAATGCATCTCTATAGACCATAGTTGTTAAATCTCTCTTCCTAAGTTTTATGTTAAGGGGACAAGATAAGTTCCTTCCAAATTTCCAAATTTCCAAATTTCAACCATTTGATACCCTCAACCTCAAGTAGAGAGGGATAAGTTTGTAAATTTTCTTTGTGTTATCATTTCAATTGCCTTTGAATCTCAGCAGAAATATAATTTCCATATGTAACTGTTGTGTGGCTCTAGAGGGATTGCCTTATATTGTTGTAGGCAAACCCTTGTGTTATGAACTGAATATGTTTGTCACTCCAGAATTATATGTTGAAGCTCTAATTCTCAGAGCAATAGTATCTGGATTTGGGGCCTTTTAGACGTACTAGGTTTAGATGAGTCATGGACAGTGAAGCCCCCATGATGGGATTTGTGTCCTTGTAAGAAGAAAAAAGATACCAAAACATCTTCTCCCTCTCCCTCTCCCTCCCTTTTAGGCCCCCTCCCATGTAAGGATACTGTGAAAAGGTGACCACCTGCAAGCCTAGAAGAGGGCCCTCATCAAGACCTGAACCTGCTGGCACCTTGATATTGGACTTCCCGGCCTCCAAAATTGGGAGAAATAAGTATTTCTTGTTTAAGTCACCCAATTTATGGTATTTTCTTCTAGCAGTCAGAGAAGACTAAGATAACCTGAGAGTTGATATGCCTCCAAAACCATTCAAACTGTGTCAAAGACAGACTGGTTTCTCTGCTTCTCCACACAGGTGAGTTTCTATTCTGAGTCAGCCACACAGAATACAGAATTTAATTGCCCCACTGTGAGGAGTCAGAAAATACACGTTCCCCTTCTTCAAGGTGTTACAGAGTGTGCCCAACATTTTTCATATTTGGGCAACAGATGAGACTGTAAAGTTTGAGAGAAGACACTGATTTTTTTAAAATCTTTTGTAGACCTTGGTTTCCATTACAGTATCTGATCTCTGGTATGAATTTAATATGACATTGTGAGTGGAAAGGAATTTGAATAGAATTTATTCATGTTAAGAGTGTCACCAGTTTTAGAGGCCATCTAGTTTTATAACAATTACTGAGACAATGACTTAATTTTAAGCTAATTGTATGCAAGAAGAGAAAGGCAACTCACAAAGTTCTCCCCTTCTTTTGTAATTGGGGTTGTTTTTGAAGTGGAGCCTGGATATAACTATTGTCTTATGTTCCCTCCTTCTATTCTTTCATCTCCAGCAAAGGCAAAAGTTGGAGAAAACAGAATTCTTTAGGTGTTGGCATAAGGTAGCAGGGTTATAGCCAACTTGACATGGGTCTTTTATGTTTAGGAAGGAGTTAAACATAAGAAAAGAGTGCTTTGAAAATAAAACAGACCACAAGAAAGGGAAAATAGCAGAAGGTAATAGTCACAGTTTAGTCATAAATCAGTCCACTTAAAGGGGAGTGGAAGCAACCTATCAACAGAAATTACTGGAGAAAATATAAAGTAATGAGTTTTCCTCAATTAGTTGCGATTTGATATTTTATTTTTTCCAACACAACTCTTGATGACAATTTATTAATTTATGTTATAATTATGGCATGATTATGAAAAAGAAGATATATCAATGGAAATTATGTCATTTTACGTGTCTACTCATATGTAAAATTGTTTAGAACAAGGTAATGTCTATTTTAATCAGTAGGAAAATAATGGCTACTCAATAAATGACGTTGGGCCAATTTGTTCTCTGTTTGGAAAAAAAAGTAGGTGTCTTACAGCATAAGATAAATATTCAGTTTAAATAAAGATACAATTTACTAATACATGAAAATACATGTGATAGCAACACTTGAAGTTAGACACAAAACCTAGAAGCCATAAAATGAAAGGTTGACTCATTTGATTACCTATAAAGTAAAATCTTAAATATGAAGAAAGACCATAAGAAGTTTTTTTTAACTTTATTTATTTATTATGAAAGATAGAGAGAGAGTACAGGGAAGGGGCAGAGAAAGAGGGAGAGAATCCCGAGTTCTCTCCAGAGTTTGCCTATTGTTGATAATGCTGCTATAATCTGTTGATGGGAATGCAAACTGGTGAGCTACTCTGGAGAATAGTATGGAGGTTCCTCAAAAAACTAAAAACAGAACTATCCTATGATCCAGCAGTTGCACTATTAGGTATTTGCCCAAAGGATAAAAAAAAAAAAAAAAAAAAAAAAAGTAAAGATCCAAAGTGGACCTGCAATTTGATATTTTAGAAACATCTTTAAAAATACTGGCCCTGGTGGCTAAAGGTGAAATTGGCAACCATGTCCTTATATTAAAATTCCCACTCTGGACAGTCTTTTTAAGATTTGAGGTGACAAATGACCAGAGACTAGCCCAAGAAAGTAGTATATGCTGGACATGAAGTAGAGCAAATATATGAGGTACAGCAAGCCATTTTCTCACTCATCCTTACTTTCCTTCTGTAAAATGGAGAAAGTTGTGTTTAAATGTCTAGAACCCCAATTTTGGTCCCCAAATTATTCTATTTCTTCCCTGACCTGGTATGCAACAATATTTTTGTCCATTTTAGAATCTTCTTGTTTTACAGAAATCAACAGCAGCCCCCTAAATTGATAAATGATTTTTTTTTTTCAGTTCAAAAATAAGAGTGCATACAAGGCAATGTTTAATCAAGTGTAGTAATCACTTACAATGATTAAGTGTAATTCTTCACATTATGGCATAAAAGTGGCATTTTTTTGGTGAGATATTCTTTTCTTGTATTTCTCAGACCACACAATATGGACAACCATCACCACCAGGTAAATAAACTCCTTTTGCAAACTGCATTAAGAGTTAAATTGCATCTGGGGCTCAACAGTGGAGAAACATGGCAGTCAGATGTTTACTGCAAGGTTATACTTCCTGCTGTTCCAAAGGACCTCCACCTTTGCCCTTACCATCGCCATGGGCACCTTGTTCTTACAGCGCACCTCAGACCAAGGTGTGGGTGCTATCTACAAACATATCAATGAGGGGAAGCTGTGGAAACACATCAAGCACAAGTATGAGAATAAGGAGTAGTTTCTCAGAGACTCCTACCCACGCCAAAGGGACCAGGTACACTCACCAGCTTGCCAGAACCAGGGTCTCAGCTTGAAGATGATGCTCATATTACTCTTCACCGACCACTTTAGCTGTTTGCAAGAAATGGCTAGTTCACCTGATAGACTCTTTAACTTTGCTGTGTTTGAAGTATGTTTAGTCAGTCATCAGCAAATAAATGTGAATTGTGCTTGAAAAAAAAACCAGTCGAATTGGAACTGAATATAGTTTAGTTCCATGGAAAGTGAGGTCAGTTTTTCTATGGTAGAACTCTCCAGAAACTTAGCTACTGAGGACACTGAAGTTTGAGTGGTCATATATAAATATCTGTAACATCAAAAATAAATAAAAATCTCTTTAGCAATGAGGATTGAAGAAAACAGATAGCAATTATAAATAGAGCCATCTCCACATTTTCAGATACAATGTATTTAAGTAATTTAGTTTTGTACAATCTATTGGGATTTTAAACTTACTAGACCTTACTATCTGTTTTGTTTTATAATATTTAAGGTCTAACCTAAGTAACAATTATATAGGACAAAGGAAGCTGATATGAAAATAATAAGAGATTTTCTTTTTTTTTTTTAATGTTTATTTATTTTTGAGAGACAGAGAGCATGCATGAGCACAGGGGAGGGCCAGAGAGAGGGGAACATAGGATACAAAGTGGGCTCTGTGCTGACAGCAGCTAACTTGATGTGGGTCTTGAACCATGAACCTTGAGATCATGACCTGAGCAAAAGTTGGGTGCTTAATTGACAGAGACAACCAGGCACCCCAAAGATAATTAGAGATTAATGAAGAAGGTGAGATCTGTTGAAAAAGGTGAGAAAATATAGAAGAAATGGCAAAATGAAAAGAGAGGAGAAAAAAAAGAATCAACCAGACTGGGACTTTTTGCAGGGGGAGGGAGGTTAATACTTTCTAGACATTTTAGAGTGTTAGTGTCTGAATTTTGTGTCTGACTCCCAGCTCCAACCAGCACCTTTATCAACACCAAGCCATACCAATCAAAGACCAACATATTGAAATTTTCCAAGCATAAAATCCCCGAACATTCACTGCTCTTTGACAGTCAATCTTATGGCAATGATACCCCACCAATTATCTAAATGTTCTGGGATAAGGTTCTAATCTTGCTTAAGAGCATCTACTATGTACTGTTGGCCTAAGCTACTTCCTGAAAGACAATGAACATCCATGTCTACATGGCCATCATGGAGACCCACCTAGGAGTTAATATATTGTGGCCTTTCTCCCCTACCTCAAATTAATGTGTTAGTTAGAGGAAGTATATTTGAGATAGATACATTTTATATTGGACAGTATTTTATTTTCTGTAGTAAATAAATATGCAGTAAATAAACAAATTGAAAAAAACTACCTCCGGTTAATTTCCACACAGTTACCTCAATGTGAGTGAATGAATGTGACACAATTTATTTTAGAGTTCAAGACACTGTCGTTTTGACATATATATACTATTATCGAAAAAGAACTGAATCATGAGCTCTGCTGAAGATGTCCATGCAAAATAAGACCAAGGCCAGAACAAGAAGACAGATATTCAAACTGAACTACTACCTCTGTGTGTTTGAGGCAGGGTAAAAGAGGGAGAGGTGAGAAGAGACATTTGGAGGTTTGTCACTGTAAGAGAAAATAGAATGTTAGCCTGTTCTGTTAGCCAAATGTCCCATCCATTTTCTTTTGTCAAAGATAGTTGTCCTCTGACTCATATATGCTAATGTTAATATATTTTGAAGATCCTGAAGGCTCACCTATATGCAAATACAGCTAAATAATTAATGCTTATAAATTTTAACTTACTTATTAAGAGATTATGATCAGTGAGATATGCTTTAAGGGGAAAAGTTAGAGGTAGGTTTTAGGGGGGAAAAGGTTAAAATAAAAAAGTTTTAATTCTTTAGGCTTTAGCATAAATTACGGGTATATTTGATCCTCAACAAAGGTTACACACACAGAAGCCCACACTGACCAGAATCATTAGTGATTGTCTTAGTCAGTTTGGGCCACTATAACACAGTACCATAGACTGGATGGCTTATAAACAACAGAAATTTATTTCTCACAGTTCTTTGAGAAGAAGTCATTTATATGATGTCCTAAAGTCTTTACAAACCAGATATCACAAGATGGGAATCATGATTTACTTGAATTTTGCCATTTTGAAATGTTTAAGAATTTCCTAGAATCTGTTATAATACTGAATGCGTTTATACATTTTATGAACCCAAGACAGGGAGACTAGCCCAGCAGTTATAAGAGACTACCAAGATTTAGATCATATGTCTGCTGCTTACTAGACTGCCAACTTTGGTGAGTTACTTAAGTATACTTAGCCTGTTTCCTCATTTATCAATGGGATTACAGTACAGTATTGTGGGACATCATAAATGCTTAGCAAATGTTAACTATCTTTTTTTCATATAAATATGCGGTAGTCATATCTTCTTAGCACACTAAAAGTGAAT